CAGTTGGGTGTCCTCTCCAACCCTGTGTCTCATAGCCCTCTACCAAGATCTATGACCTCATAGAATGTAGCTTCTTTGTTTTTCATCCAAATTGAGATCTAGGGCCTTTGCCGTTCAATTGTTAGAGCTTAGGTAACATTTTCAAGCTTTAATTGCAAGAGAGGCTGAGAAACTGCAGGTTGTTACATAGGAGGCTAAACTCAGATGTGGCAAATGTCCACTCTATCCTATTCCTTCAGTAAATTTGCTTGGACAATGGCTTTAAAGTTATAGAATGTGTTTGGCCCTTTCAAATCCATTTAGCCCCATGACTATCCAGTTGCAAAGACAATGGGTCATTCTTAGCTTCATTTGACCTAACCTTTTAAGCATTTGACAATGTTAATCACTCTTTTCTTTTTTTAAATTAAAATAATGGATCTTTTAAATATTTGATCCAAATAGAATCCCTATAATATTATGCGTGAATATAGTGTCAATGAACACTTTATTATTACTTATTTATTTAGAGACAGGGTCTTGCTCTGTCACCCATGCTAGAGTGTGGTGGTGAGATCATAGCTCACTGGAGCTTCAAATTCCTGAGCTTAGGCAATCCTCACGCCTCAATCTCCGAGTAGCTGGGACTACAGGTGTGCACCACTAAGCCTGGTTAATTTTTAAATCTGTTCATAGGGATGGGCGTCTTACTACATTGCTTAGGCTGGTCTTGAACTCCTGGTCTCAAGCAATCCTCCCACACTAGCCTCCCAAAGTGCTGGGATTATAGTCATGAGCCATTGAGCCAGGCCAAAAACTCCTTTGTTACGCATTTCTCTTCCCTGTTTGTAGTTCACGCCTCTTACACCTTTCTAATCATTTTTCTCCCAATTTCCATTCAGAGCTGCTCTCTTTGTCCAGTTCTGCTCTTATAATTCAGTTCACATCATGTGAAGGTTATAAGTGAATTGTGTCCCCACTCCCCAAAAAGCATACATTAAAGCCCCAACTCCTAGTACCTCAGACTGAAATAGGGTAATTTCCAAATAAGAGATAAAAAAGGGGGGCAGATGTAATCAGTTCAGATGAGATCCTGCTGGAGTAGGGTGGGGTCTGATTCAGTATGACCCGTGGAATTTGGACACACACACGTGCGTGTGCATGTGTGTGCAGAGAGAGCACCATGTGAAGAATAGAGTTAGCTCCTGTGATAAAAGGAACTACTAGAACTTGGGAGAGAGACCCAGAACAGATCCTTCTAATAAGAGAGAGAACGGTTTTAGGCAGGGACAGGGAAAGGGGGTCTGGAGAAGGTCAGGAGAGGAGGTTGGGCACAGGCAACAGGCCTGGAAAATCCCCACCAGGAAGTTTCATAACCATCACAGAGTGCCTATGTGACCTGTGCAGCCATTAGTCAATGGCTCTTGCTGGGTGGGCCATACCAGGGGAAGAAAGATCCCAGGAGACAGGGCGAAGAAGCCTGCTGCTGTGAACAGGGAACCAATAACCATGGGCCATCTTAACTTGAAAGCACCAACCAGATTGTGCTACTAATAACCAGGAGAACACTTAAGGCTTAGAAACCCTTAGACCAGCAGTTCTCAACCTGTGGGTCGTGACCCCTTTGGACTGTAGTAAAGGTTCGCGGCATTAGAAAGGTTGAGAACCACTGCCCTAGACAAAGAGGCAAAAGCAGCAATCTGCTCAAGAATCCCTCTGCTATACCAAAGGCTTTGCTTTCCTCTTTCATTTCTTCTTAATAAATTCTCTTGTTTTCACTTACTTTCGGTTCATGAATTCATTCTTTGATACTCGAGACCAAGGACGTTGTGGCAAAGTTCTGGTATCACTTCTATGTGGCCTTCAGAGAGAGCCTGGCCCTCCCAACACACTGATCTCCAGAACGGTGAGGCAAGAAATTTCTATTGTCTGATTCACTCAGTTAGTGGTACTTTGTGCAAATGTATTGATTGATCATCAGGCCCCAAATACCTTACAGATCCAGGTAGCGGTATGGTCTGCTGGGACACGTGCATTTGTATATCCCATAGAAATTGCAAACTGTTCACCTAAAAGGAAGAAGCTGAGGCAAAATTAATATAAGTAGAGAGCTTATTTGAGCGAAGCTGGAGGATTGCAACCTAGAAGCATAGATTCAAGTTGCCCTGAATGTACAGTTCAATTAGCAATGTTTACAAGTAGGTTTTGTTGGTTTTTTTGAGACCGTCTCACTGTGTTGCCCACAGTAGAGAGCTGTGGCATCACAGCTCATAGCAACCTCAAACTCTTGGGCTTAAGCCACTGTCTTGCTTCTGCCTCCCAAGTAGGTGGGAGTACAGGCACTCACTACAACACCTAGCTTTTTTCTTTTTTTTGGTTGCAGTTGTCATTGTTGTTTTTAGCTGGCCAGGGCTGGGTTTGAACCCGCCAGCCTCCATGCATGTGGCCAGCACTGTAACCACTGAGCGACGGGCACTTGAGCCTGCCCACCAAACAACAATGATGGCTGCAACCAAAAAATAGCTGGGCATTGTGGCAGGCGCCTGTCAGCTACTTGGGAGGCTGAGGCAAGAGAATTCCTTGAGCCCAGGAGTTGGAGGTTGCTGTGAGCTGTGATGCCATGGTGCTCTACCCAGGGTGACACTTTGATACTCTGTCTCAAAACAAAGTAAAAGAAGAGTCAGTTTCTAAGTTATTTATTTATTTATTTATTTATTTTTGAGACAGAGCCTCAAGCTGTCCCCCTGGGTAGAGTGCCATGGCATCACAGCTCACAGCAACCTCCAACTCCTGGGCTCAAGCGAGCCTCCTGCCTCAACCTCCCAAGTAGCTGGGACCACAGGTGCCCGCCACAAGGCCCGGCTATTTTTTGGTTACAGCCATCATTGTTGTTTGGCGGGTCCGGGCTGAGGATTGGAACCCGCCACCTTAGGTGTACGTGGCTGGCGCCTTAGCCGGTTGAGCTATAGGCGCCAAGCCAGTTTCTAAGTTATTTACCAAGAATTTACATTAAAATGATATAAACATTGTACTTTGTATCACAGATTCCAGGAAAATGAAGATAATGGGTGTGACAGCTAGTCAAGAACTAAATGACTTTAAATAATTGCCCCCAGGCATGGGTTGGGGGAGATGCCTGACTGAAGTGGCATCTCTGTCTCTCTGGGTCTGATAAATTTTGCATACCTCACATAGTTCGGACTGCTCTGAGCTATTTTTTTTTTTCTCAAAACTCAACTTGGCTGAATTCAACTCATCCTTTCTTTGCATCACACTTGCTTCTTCCCTTTGGTTTTTCTCCCTTGCTGAATGGCACCCTGTCTATCTACCCTGTTGCCCACCTCCGAAACCCCGTGATAGCCTATAACTCTGCTCCGCTCCCTGTAATCTTTCCTTCGGTCAGACCCTGAACTCTGTTCCCTTTCTAGTTGGGCCTCCTTTCTTGAGCTTCCCACAGTAATCTTCCTGAAGTGCAAATTTAATCAGGCCACCTGCAGGATTCAAATCCTTCAAAGGGTCCCTATAGTTTCCAGACAAGGGTCAAATCCCCTAGCTTAGCAGACACGCCCCTCATCTTCTGACTCTGCCACCCTCCCTGACCAATAACCACGCCTCTCACCTTTGCTGCCCTTCCTGCAGCCAATCACATGTTCACCTCTGCCCCTACTCTGTTATTACGCCTTGTCTGCTCCGTCTTCAAAATTCAAACGGGGCCTCCTCTGGGAAGTCTTCATTTTCTGGCATGATTCAAAACTTGCCTCTATGTCCCTATAATGTCTGCACATAAATTTCTATCATAGTAATTTTACAATGTTCTGAAATTGTAGGTCTCCTGCCACCATCGAGTGTAAAACATTTTAGACATGGTGCTTTCTCCGCCTTTCTATTCTCAGCGTGGTGCCTAGGACGCAGGAGGCATTTATAAGGGAGGGAGGAATGAAGAGTAGGGGGGACGGAGGGAGGGAAGGGAGATCGCCTATCTCACTTTATTTTACAGACTAAAATATAAGACCCAGGGAAACAGTGATATTATTTTCAGTGCTGATTTTTTTAAAGGCAACCGTGAAACCAAGTTTATTGAGAAAGAGAAAGATAGGTTTACAGAGTAAGGGCAAGACACAGGCTTACAGAGCAAGATGCGCTCGCCATAGACAGCGGATGGCCCCGTTTTCGCCACAAGGAAAAGGCCTTTGGTGTTGATTTTTATCATAGTTGACTCATTTGTTAGAATTTACTTAAAGGAAACGCAGAGACTTATTTTTCCTTCTCTCATATTCAGGAGCTGTTCCTGCTTAATAACCAAATGTCCCATAATGGAGGCTGGGCTTTTTCAGCGCTCTCATCCTCTACAAAGTAAAACCCCTGGCTCTGAAGGGTCAGTGTCCGCGTTTGTGTTTACAGGGCTGAGGAGGAGGACGCGTTTTCGGGAGTGGACCTGAAACCGAGCCAACCCCCTTCCTCTGCCCCCCCCGTGTTGCGATTGGCCCATCCTGGAGTCTGCTGCTAGCGCCTTTTTAGTCACCGCACAGGGAAATCTTTCTGCAATTGGGCACCAACTTGCCCGTTTGTTTTCATGCTGTTTGTGCGGGGATTAGCCGTAGTGCCCGGGCTGGGAATGCTGCGCGGGCTGGGCGACATATAATCCAGGATTTGCCTCTGCTTCGCTGGTTATGGAAAGCAGATGTCTCCTTGCTCTGGGACTGAGCTCAGAATGGCTAAGACCAACCAGAGGGCCTTCTGGAACCGCCGACCCGAAGTGAAGGCCCTTCAGAATCCAGCCCGGAGGCCGACTTTGCTCCTCTGGGCTGTTTTCACTACTTGAGTCAATCGCTCGGTAAAGCAGTTTCACCGTCAGATAACATCTGGCCGCAGCGGCGCGGCTGCGGGGGAGGAGAAAGGAGGCGGAGGGCAGCGGGCGCCGAGCCCCGGTCGCCCGCCCGCTGCCCGATGTCGTGAGCGAGCAGCGGCGGCCCTGGCTGCGGGCGCGGCGAGACGGAGGCGGGGTGGCGGGCCGGCCACTCCCGAGCGCGCGCGCGACTGCCCCGCGAGGACCGCACCGTCTCGCAGTAAGTCATGGCCGGGGCCGCGGCGCCGGGGCCTGCCGCCGGGAACCCGCCTTTCTGGCCGGGTCCTGGCGGACTGAGGTGTGCGGGGGGGCCTGCCCAGGAGCCATTTCCGGCTCCTGGCCTCCAGGGTTGGACGCCTGCCCGGGCCCGCGAGGGACAGCTGCCGGCCGGGCTGCGACCGGGCTGAGCCTGCACTTGGCGTCGCCCGCAGGCCCGGCCGGCGGGGGGCGGGACGGCCTGGCGCGGACCCGCGGATCGCTGCGGTGCCCGACGCACGCGGAAAGCTTTCTATAGTCATTTTGCACAGAGAAAAAAAAAATAATAACGATGTTCTGCGGTCTTAAAGCCCTAGTGTAATAATTTTGAAAAAATGAGCTTCCTCCTCTTTTTCTTTCTAGTTGATTTTCTTTTTAAATTTGTTCTTTTTCCTAAAACTAATTTCTTTACTACTAACCCTCCTTCTTGTTCTCTGCCCAAGCTCATATGACAGTTCTGGCTTTGCGGAGGGAGATGTTGACTGTTGAGGGTTTACTGGGCTCTTTTTGGTTGATGTATTTGCTGTGGAAATACTTGCCCGGTGTTGAAAACTGCTTGCTAATAGGCTGGGAGTGGGTGGAAGGTTTGTCTCAGGGAATGCCTGTTAGATCTAAAACATTCTGTGATCCCCCAATTCGCTCCCACCTGTAATCCAAACCCATAGAGCAACTGATTTCTTCTACACTCCTTCAGTCCACGCCCCCACTCTCTCACCCCGTGAAATCGCCAGCTTTAACTTAGGGTACAGAGCGAGCTTTCCATTCAAACTCTTTAAATAGTTAATTTTAGAGCGCTCAGGATTCCAGACATCCAAAGATTAGGTTAGCTTAAGGTATGAGAGGTTGTTCTTGTATCGGTATTTCAGGCTATTTTCTTTTAAAAATGGAGATTAAATTTTACATCAACATTTTTGGTATGTAGTTACAGGTTTGCTGCTAACAGCTTGTATTCAGGGTTTCTTTCCTAGGGAGTGGAAGGAGGTGTTGTGGTCTATCTGTTGGCTCCCAGCTCTGCCTGACCTTTCTTCTCAGATTTCCACTTGATTTCGTCCTTGGCAGAACTGGGCTTCAGCTCAAAGAAACGTTAAGAGCAAGAGTGATTCAGAACATTGACCTTAACCAAAGACTCGAGTATTTGATTAAATTCTTTGTGACATACATTACATTTCCTTCCCCTTCAACGTTAGGGTCATAAAACAATTAAAGGTCAATAAAAAAAAGAAACACTCCTTCCTGCCTTAAGGTAAATTTGGATTTGGTTGATAATAGGCTGTCTACACTGGCACAGGAGATGATCTGGTCATGTTCTGGCTGGATACAGAACAGTTAACACCAGATCTCACTTGCCCTCATATTAACACATTCTTTTCCTAGCAGCCTCCCTTTTCTTTCTACTTTTTTTTTGAGACAGTTTCACTTTGTTGCCCTGGGGAAAGTGCTATGGTGTTATAGCTCACTGCAACTTCAAACTGTTGGGCTCAAGTGAGCCTCTTGCCTCAGCCTCTGGAGTAGCCGGGACTACACAGGCGCCCCCAACAATGCCCAGCTATTTTTATTTTTTTTAAATTTAATTTAATTTAATTTTTTTGGAGACAGAGCCTCAAGCTGTCCCCCCTGGGTGGAGTGTACTGGCATCACAGCTCACAGCAACCTCCAACTCCTGGGCCCAAGCAAGTCTCCTGCCCCGGCCTCCCAAGTAGCTGGGACTACAGGCGCCCGCCACAATGCCCGGCTATTTTTTGGTTGCAGCCTCATTGTTATTTGGCGGGCTGGGACTAGACTTGAACCGGCCACCTTAGGGGTATGTGGCTGGAGCCTTAGCCACTTGAGCCACAGGCTCTGAGCCCCCAGCTATTTTTAGAGACAGGGTTTCCTTCTTGCTCAGGTTGGTCTTGAACTCCTGAGCTCAAGCAATTCAACTGCCTGGGCCTCTCAGAGCGCGGAGCCTCCGTGTCCGGCCTTTTTTCTACCTTTTTGAAATGATCCCATTTGGGTACCTACTATGACTATTGTTTTTTGTTTTTGGAGCCAGAGTCTCACTTTGTCACCCTCAGTAAAGTATCGTGGCATCATAGCTCACAGCAACCTCAAACTCTTGGACTCAAGAGTTCCTTTTTGCCTCAGCCTCCTGAGTAGCAGGGATGACAGGAGCCCACCACGATGCCTGGCTAGTTTTTCTATTTTTTTATTTAGTAGAGACAGGATCTTACTCTTGCTCAGTCTGGTTTCAAACTTGTGAGCTCAGACAGTCCACCACCACCCCCCTCCCTTGGCCTCCCAGAGTTCTAGGATTACAGGCATGAGCCACCACACCTGGCTCTAATCCTTTCTTTGGCCTTCCCTTGAACTGAATTCTATTGTTTGAATTTCTATCTATTGACTATTTTAGAAAGAGGCTAGACAGTTCCTTTATGGGTCAGGAGTGATCTGTTTCTTTAAGCCTTCTCCAAGCAGCAGTCCAACTTGGTGAGAATCCAGGCTATTCAAATGTGGATAACCCAACCAGGTAATAGAGCAATGGTTGAGGAAACTGAAAATGATGCCTGAAATCCTAGGGAGATAACATTCTCAAAACTTTCTTCTTTGGTCACCACTCCACTAAAAATGACACTGCTTGGTTTACACCAAATCCATCTTGGATTATAAATTTCTAAAAGACAACATTTTCTTGACTTTACAGATGTTAAAAAGCTTATACTGGAGGTGCTGATGATGAAGATAGGAACAATGACAGGTTTTTCCTTTAAATACTTTATGGGATGTCTGTTTGAGAGGCCCTTCTGAGAATGTTATCTTTAAAAGCCTTGAAGCAGAGGCAGAGGCTGCGGTACTCTGTTGACAGCATTATTTTTTTTATATTCTTTTGTATCAGACCTTAATACTGGCCTACTAGTTGGCAGAGCTGAAAAACGCCCTGCAAGTCATCTGTGAGTTTAATTTATTATTTTCTCTGGAAGAAAATGATAGGTCTCTTGATACGGATAGTGTTCAGCCTAAGAGTTAAAAGAATTGGCAGGTGCAACTTTTGAGATAAAAAGTAGAGAGGAAATGAAGGGGATTAATTAAATCTCAAGACACTGCACCACTGTTTCCTAACCACTCAACTTTTATGTCATTTTTTGAGGGTTTTGTGGATATTCAGTCTCAGAAAATGAACTTCTGTTGGTAAATATTTTGTCTCACTCATACTGGTTTGTTAGCATTTAAAACTATTATTTTCGTAAATTCCGCCTTTGAATCTCATCTTTATCCTTTCCCTAGAATTTTCAATATTGTCCTTTTTCATAGTGTATGTCTAGATGAGATTTGTTTATGCAGAAGTGCTGGCCCACAAGATTAGAATGTGTCCTTGAGTGTAACAACACCATATTTGTCACCATCTTTATTAACTTATGATAGTTTAGAAGTGCTCAAATAGAAACTGTGGACACAAGTTTTGCTTCCATCTTAACTACAGTAAAAGGATCAACCTAAGACAGGCAGACTTCTGGAACCAGAAATGAGAGCAGTTTATCCAAATGTGCTGGAGGCAGTTGGAGTTCTGGGAGGAAATTAGTCTCTTAAATCACTGTCTTCCTCAGTGTAAATGTTGTTCAGGTTTCAGAATGTTTGCTGTTTGAGGGAGACTTTGGTTTAAATGTAGCCATTGATTTAACCTAAGTACTGAGTCAGGCAGAATGTTTTGCTCCCTTGCTTATTGCCCATTAGGTTCAGGACTTGAATTTTAGGACTTTTCACTTTGACCTTCAGGGGTGATGACTTTGTGGACCAGGAAGCAAACAAGATGAACAAGTCTCTCAGATTATGACTCCTGAAAAGAGAGATCTGATATAAGACCAAAAGTGTGAAAAATTCAAACAAATTTTATTTTAGATCATTCTGCCCAATCAGGCAGAAGAAAGGAAAGACACTTTTCAAGCCCACACCCTCGTCTACCCGCCAACCACAAAGATTTGTTGAATAAATATGTTCAAGCCCTTTGCTTTATGATCTGGAAAGTCAGATAAGGTTCAAAAGTCTAGGGCTGGGTAGGACCCTCTTCGGTGGTTCAGCTACAAACACTTTCTAGGAGAATCAAGAGGGTCCCATGACCTGAGATTTACTTCCTTTCTCAGTGAAAGGTGTCTCCTTGCCTCTCAATAGGACCTAGATGGAGTGGCATTTGCTACTTATCCCTAAGACTCCTATTTGGTACACGGCTCTGTTCCTGTAATGTTTCTTATGCAGTGACCGCAGTGACCGGGCGGTGCAGCAGTAGCCCTGGGTAGCACCAGCAGAACCCATAATAGGAACATTGCTGGAGGGTAAGTGGTAGATATCCCTGAGCTGTGCCTTAATTAAGAGGATGAGATCAGGTCCCCTCTGGAATCATGAAAATAGCATCTCGGACTAAAAAAACACAGAACTGTCTGTTTTGCTGACTACATGCACTTTTTTTTTTAATTGTTAAAAATAGTTTTATTAAAAAAAATTTCAGAGTAATATGAAGGTTCAAATGATTAGGTTGCATTGTTTTCTTTTTTTTTTTTT